AGGACGCTGAGGCTGAGTCCTGCAGCTCCCTGAGCTTCTACCTCGGGCTGCGCCCCAGCCTGTTCTTTGCTGAAGATGCCCAGTTCCGAAGGCTGCCTTGAGTTACTTTATAGGAAGAGAACCCAGGAGTGAGGGTGCCTTGGCATGTGGTAAGTGCGTATTTTACTTTTTAATGATCAGCCAGAGTTTTTCCCAGAGTGGCAGCGCCATATGCAATCCCGACAGTAGCCTAAGGGACTCTGGTTGTTCTGAGTTTTCTCTAGCACTTGGTATTTGCCCGTTTTCAGTTTGAGCTATTCTGACAGGTGAAAGTGCTGTTTTGTCATAGGGTCATGGCTAATGACATTGAACTTCTTTGCATGTACTTATTTGCAATCCCACATTTTCTTTGTTAAACTAGTGAAGTCTTTATTCCATTTTGTTATTAGATTGAGTTTGGAGAGTTCTTTATAGTCTTTGTCAGATTTGCAAACATTTTCTCCTAATTTGTGACTTTTTATCATTTTTTTAGTACTAGGATTGGACTCAGGGGTGCTTAACCACTGATCCACATTCCCAGCCCTTCAAAAATTTTTCTTTTTACGTTTTGAGACAGGGCCTCTCTAAGCTTCTAAGGCTGGCTTTAAACTCATGATCCTCCTGCTCCAGCCTCCTGAGCCGCTGGGATGGCAGGTGTGAGCCACCGAACCTGGCAACTTTTAATCTTTTCTATGAGATGTTTTACAGAGCAAAAATTTGAATTTTAAGTTCAATTTATCGATGTGTTCTTGTTCTGTGAATTGTATCTTTGATGTTATATCTAAACACTCCAGGTCTCAAAGGTTTTCTCTTACATTTTTTTTCCTATAAACTTTATAGTTCTACATTTTGAGATTAGATCTACATTAATTTTGAGTTAATGTTTTGCATAAGGCCTGAGATTTAGATTGAGTTCCTTTTAATTTTTTGGCCAAGTGCCAAGTTGTTCCGATACCGTGGGTAGAAATGACCAATCTTCCTCTACTGATTTTTTTTTTGTGCCTTTGTCAACCTCAGTTCGTGTAGAAGAGTGGACCCAGACTCTCTGTTCTGCTGTGCTGACAGGTGCCAATGTCACACCGTCTTGATGAGCATAGTCATATAATACTTCTTAAAATTAAATACTGTGCTTCTTCCAGCTTATTCTTATTTTTCAAAATTGCTTTGGATATTTTAATTCCTTGGCCTTTTCCTGTAAATTTTAGACCCAATTTGCCTCTACATACAAAGGATCCAGCTGTTATTTTGATAGTAACTGCTTTACCTCTGTCCACCAACGTAGAGAGGGTTGTATATATATACACACACAATGTCTGTAAGAATATCTATTTATATTCATCTCTTTTCATACAAAAGTAGCGGACTATTTATATTATTCTGTGCATTTTTTCCACTTAAAAAGATATCCTGGAGATCATCTCAAGTAGATCTGGAGATCATGTGAACCCTTCTTTTTAAAAAGAATTATTTATTTTAATTAGGTATATATGTGCACTCCTCTTTACAGCTGCTAAGTTGTCCTTGTTGGACCATGTAGCTTTTGTAGTCCTCTAGTTCCTACCAAAGGACATTTTTTTTTTCGGGGGGGGGGTGGGTAGCCAGGATTGAACTCAGGGGCACTGAGTTCACTGAGTCACATCCCCAGCTCTATTTTGTATTTTATTTAGAGACAGGGTCTCACTGAGTTGCTTAGCACATCGCTTTTGCTGAGGCTGGCTTTGAACTTGTGATCCTCCTGCCTCAGCCTTCTGAGCCACTGGGATCACAGGTGTGCCCCACCACA